AGTCGATACCAGACGTGAGAATGAGAGAGTGAGAGAGTGAAAGAGAGAGAGAGAGAGGATAGGAGAAACAAATGCTCGATTTAGCTTACTGCATAAGTAAGGGTGCTGTGTGTGTATATATATATATACACCACCACCACCACCGATCAAAAGTTTGGATCTGTGTTGAATAAAATTGATAATTTCTTATCGTAACACAGATGTGTAAATAATCTATCAAGATATTATATTATAAATAGAATAAAGTGCTCTATTAATTGTGTAAAAATAAATAATATAAAAATAAAACTTAAAAAGAAATATACAATATCATAAAAACAATTTTGATTTTTCAACGAAAGATTATTATAATAATATTTACGATATATAAGGGGAAAATCTGATGATGAATTTTGATGACGGTTAGAGAGTCATTTGGTAAATAGAAAAAAGAAAAGGAAGGAATGTGATTTAAAATATGATAAATAATACTCACAGATATGTGTTGCAAGCGTTGTGTTATAAGTAATTTTAGTAATATCAATGCAGTAAACGTAGCCAAACTTTTACAACGGGTAATTTTATGTTTATATGGAAGGTTTAATGGGAAAAAGAAGGGAGTGGACGTAAAATAGTAGGAGGAGGAAATAACTAACGTTAATAGGAAGCCGTTTTAGAGCTCGTAGACTTCACGTCCGTTGGGTCTGTTGACTGTGGGTCTACAGGAAGCCGGACTTGCATAAGAATGGATGATGTGAACCCTTAAACGCACGTCGCTAGAATTTCTCCCAGTGTCGGCGCGCGTTCTTCTAGAAAAGTTCACGGTCGTTTTGCAGCAACAATAATGAAATAATTTAACGTACGCGCTACGAAAATGTCGATTGGCAACGCAATATAATAAATTATTAAAACAGGGTTTGGAAAATGCTAACCAAGCTAGGCCGTATAAAACGTGTGCACTCATTGGTCGAAATGAATTCATGCATACGGCCGTGCCAAAGGGTAACCAAAATATTATAAACATCAGACAACTATAGATATTTGCTTTAGTTAATTCGTAATCCCATGAAAATGTAATCGGTGGTTTGTAGGATCCCCTTGTTGCTCGTCTAACGCATAATATTAGTATCGCATAAAGTAATGTAGTAGTTACTGCTGGTAAACCTACTAATATCGTTACACCGATTAATTGTTTCATCGTAATACCGTCAAATTTTCTTAAACAAAAGTCTGGTCCGTCTTCTATATATGATTGAAGGCTCACAGCTATCACCGCGATTACCCAAATGCCGATCAATGTGCCTGTCACTCGGCTCGTTGTTAAAATGTTGTACCTGCGGAACCCCCGGTAGTATAAATATTCATAACTTATTTATTTCTTCCTTTTATATATATA